TTTTCTCTGAACTGGAATGAGACATCAGTTTACAAGCTGAATCTCCTGCACAGCACGACTCTTGGCAGATTTTATTAACCATTGTTCCCACCTTGCTACCAGCACTTCACTGTCACAATAATTGCTTTTCTTTGGTTATTTTGGGGGAGTAAAATCAACAACTTTGATTTAACAAGTTCACTTTGTTGGAGGCATAATGGGTTGATTTCTGGAAGAGAAAGAGGAAAGCACTTTGGAAATGTTTATTTATTAATAACTTTACTTTTGTGTAGTTTTCTTGTTGCAAGACAATTTCTGCAGAGGTTTAGCTGAGGACTGCTGAGCTGCTTCAGTGATTTTAATAATAATAATCTGATATAGCACCTTTCACATTGTAAGGACATTTCAAAAGCACTTTATAGGATTTACTGCAAAGTGTAGTGACTTGAGCATTTTGTGGGCAAATGGGGCAACCGATTTGCACACAGCAATGTCTCACAAACATCCATGAAGTGATTTCTGTGGTTCTGCCAAACTGCAGCCTATCATTGGAGGGTACTGAAGTAAAACTCAACGTGAAATTTGATTGTTTGCTCCTTAAAACTGAATAGCTAATTTTCCTTTCCAACTTGATGCCTACAAACAACTTGCCACCACAGAGAAGGCCCCATGAAAAACTGGGCAAATATGCTGCCATTCGGGCAAACCAAATAGTCAGAATAGATGTGCATCATTTTCAGTGATGTAGACATGACTTTTTTCATTTTGATAGGATTTATGCTTTCCAATTATATCTGTGAATGAACAAAAAGGTTTGCTTACAAGATTTTTTTTATTATGCGAAGAGTCCCACTTTAGTGAGTTACACATTTCATTGCCAAAGGGTTGCTGCCTGGGTTTATATTCTTCATTGGCAATTCACTTTATGGCTTACTGCTTGTTACATTTTAACATAAGCTCTTCAACATCTCCCCATATCAAAATGCTTTTTTGAAGGACCAGCAAGTTATAAACTTTTTACTGTTAAATGATTGTTCGATCATGTTACCCTGAAATGGCAGTGTAGCTCAAGGTGCGCTGTTGCATGGAATTGGGTGGGTGGGGATGAGGGTGGGGGGTAAGAGGGAAATAGGTTAAACTTGGGTCAGTGAATAAGCACATGTCTTAAATGTTCTGGATTGCTGACATTAAATGAAGGGATTTAGCTTGTGTAAATATGAAAGTTACTCTTCTCAAGGGTACAGTTGTGCATTGTTAGTTTAAGTATTTTGACTGTTGCTATGTCAGGAAAACAACTAATAATAGAAACCAAATGCCCAAACATCTATCACAGGTAACACACAGTAGCATATAGCAACACTAAAGAAGGGTGTGGTGCAACCCACTCTGAGTAATTTGGAGTCAAAGTGAATGATTAAATTAACAAAAGATCATTGTCTGGACATTTCCACATTACATTACCAAGATAAAGCCAATGAATAGCTGTTTTTAATTTTCCCCCCTCTTGTACCAGAGAAACACAGGCAAGATTAATCACCCCACCTGCGCCACTAAAGCATCTGAATGAAGTGCTATGGCTAACACAGAAAAGAAGAAATCCCAAAGTTAATCAAATTTTGAATTTATGAACTAAAACATTCCAAGTATAATTCACCCCGTAATGCTGTAATGTGCAACGACGAACACACTTCATCTGGGAATATTTTCTTGGGAACCCATAATACACACTTCATCTGGGGACATTTTCTTGGGAAACAACTGTTGAGTCTCACAGAAGTGTCAGGAGAGGAAAAGGGGTCACCACATACATGTTCAGAACTGCATTGCATTAAGATCGTAAATCCTCTGGTGTGTAGCTCTTCAGCAGCTTTGTATTATATAATTCTTGGGGATAAAAGGCAGCTTTGACAGACAGATGCTTGATTGCCCTATGAGATAGAGACACGACTTCCTTCTCACAATACACAGATTTTCCACAGGGATCACTGAACTTTCCAGCACTTGCACCTTTCTTAAATAATTGACTAAATTCTTGAAATAGCAGCTCTGGTAAAGTACTTTGTTCTCAATGTTTCAAACACAGAATTCTCCCCGACAAGAATCAGTCAGGCTGGGTTTTACATTCTCCCCAAATAATAAAATAACCATGACAATGAGTTGCTTACCGAGACAGAAAGTTGCTAAGCAACTGAATGTGTAGCTGCTGGCATTAAGGTGTTCTGTTTGTAGGGATAAGATTATAACACAGGTCTCTTGTTAGTCAAGATCCATGATCTGGAACAATTGCTTTATCATGGGGTTGAATACATGATATTTGCAAGTTGGATCGTTACATCAATTGAAAATGTCTGCTCTTTGAGAAACTAACGATCTGTCAATCACGAATCCCAAGTCAGAAAGTCTGAAACAACAACCAATAAATAAAACCGCCTGTGGTTTCCCACTGACTTCTTTTCACAGATTTTGTTGACTGGGAATTTGCAACTTGTGAATTTCACATACCAAAAGTTTGCAACTGCATCTGGTTTATACATCATCATTGTTTCAACATTACTTTGAATATCACCTTTTAGGACTACTGAAGATTAGTGCTTACAATAACTGCAAATTAGATCCCTGGCAGATAATTATGTTGTTTAATAATTTATACCCGGATAAATATTTTCTACATGTTGCATATCACTCTTTAAGAACTCTTGTAATAAAGTTGCATCTTCTGGATATATGTGGATTTGTTTCCACAAATTAAAAGTAGGCTTTAAATTCAATAGAGAATATGATCTTGGAACGGTCACATAACAATGCCACTCCACACATTATTTGTAGTTTGTCCCCAGCAAATCAAATTCAAGATCCTTGTTCTGTACTTAGTTAACACTACTTACTTAAATATTAAATATTATTAAATATATACCTTAGAAACAACATTTTATTGTAAAAAATCACAAATACTTTGCTAAATTTGAACAAGTTCCAGAACAGTAGAAATTCCCAAGCCACACCAGAACTGATTTACGTTAGTAATTCCAAGCATGTACTTTCAATTGACATCAGAGTTGCACTTCTCAATAACTTTCCGGTTGGCAAGCTCTGCGAACCGGGACCTGAGTGTTCGGTACATCCACCCTTGTGTTTCCTTTTGAAAGTCAATATAAACAAGTGCTTAACCCGCTATTACAGCAAACAGGTGACCTTTTAAGCAGCTGAAGTGGCTGTGACGTAATCATATGGTCTTGAATGTTCCACCACATTTGCTAGTTTTGCAAAATTTCCAAAGAAATCATATGATTATAAAAAATGCACACGATTCAGTATTTAATACCACTGTACAATTGTAACACCAATAAAAAAGGGATTTTTGAGGTGGGCAAAACAGTGAAAAATCAATCAATCTATAAAAATGGATGAAAATCACAAGTTCAGCTGGTTAAGATACTGTTTAGATTGAAATTGACACATAGATTAGGAACGTGATCACTGGCTTACTGTGCTGACTTAGTTGATGACAGTAGGAATTGGTCTCTGAGAGAAAACTTAAGTCAGTCTTCCTATTCCTGAACACTACTTAGTGAGTATATGTGGACTGTGGTGAGGCTCAGTAGTGATGTCCCAAGGTTGAGTAGCTTACTGAAAAGGCTTGGGCAAACGCATTAATAGCCACTTGGATGAAGCACTTAAAAGGTGCCTGTAGAATTGTACGCAGCAAGGTTCATATCTTCAGAGGTAGAGGGGAAAAAGAACATGGCTATGGTGATCTGCATAACTAAAGTAATGGACACTTCCAGTTTCATCCAAGCTTTCAAATTTACCAAAAGACTCTTCTGCTCAACAGCTACCGCTTTACACGCTTGCATCAGTTACCGCCATCTGCTCCAATCAGACCTCTGGTTCCACGGCTTCTAATCCCTCTGCTAACTGGTTATCTCATCCTCCTGAGTATACTTACTTAATTCTATCTCTCTGTGGGACAAAAAGACAAAGTCAAAGTATTATTGATCAGTCCCTGTGCCATTGCTTTGGACAAAGCAGACCCTGAAACCTTCAGCAAAAGATTTCTGCATTCATTCAACACCCAGTTGACCAAAATAGATATACAGCCAAAGATGAATGTGCAGCTACATTGTACAAGATAGCCAAATTGACTGATTTAGTGTGTGGACACTATGATATAAAATGTGAGTTACTCAGCATTGAGATAGATGATGGGAGGAGAGCGCAAGGGAACAAGGCAAGGCCAAGAGGTCAATGATGTTTTTTGAGGGCACATTTTATATGCAGGAAATTGCACAGGAAGCATTCCAAGGTTAAACAGATAAAACCTTGGGAAAATGTGATGAACATCTGTGAGCTTCTGTGTGATTCAGCCAAAAGAGCCGTGCTCTCAACACGATGACATGGGCAGCGTTTCCTCCCTGCGTCACCTGCCCTACCCAGCATCCTGGTTAATAGCTGACAATTCATTGTATAATTTACTGCAATTTGTACATTTATTTCAACTGGGACTCAGCGACTTATTCAGGGTCAAATCCATCCTTGGCTAACTAGCCTGATAAAAGGTAGACATTATCACAGATATTTCATCCAAAATTTCCGCCATCCACATAAAACGTTGTAGGTCTATCACCCCACCTTCACTGGGCTCTACCAGCTCTCTATCCTTCCGACCTCAAGATCCTCATCCACACCTACAAATTATTTTCCATCCTCCCATCTACCTGTGATCTTCCAAGCAAATGCGTGGCTAATGCTGATCCTCACCGCCTCCACCCTCTGAAGTTCTCTCTCTCTCCCCACTTCAAATGAGGTCTGATGAGTGCTCAATACAACTGCAGCAGTAATTTCTTGCTCTTATATTCTATACTTCTTGTAATCATGCCAACATCCCGTTAGACTTTTTGCCACCTTCTGTCTAGTGAACTTGTCTTCAGGCCAGCTCAAAATTGAATCCACTTGTATCCATCTTGTTATATAATGTATTGTACTATATAAACACATCCAGAAAAGTACACAGAAATTCAACAAAAGTTTAATGTAACATTTATTTATACAGTAATTATAAATACTGCATGTACATTCACTGAGCAAAGGATCCACTTAAGATGGAAGAAATCTCAATCTGCTGTACACAAAAAACTAGCAGTTAATAGCTGAAGGTACTAATCTATTTCTACTGACACAATTTTATGACTATAATCAGACAACAAGCTATTGAGACTAGCTTTAGCAAACATTCACTGTTACAGGCACAAATGAAATACTAATCTTTGCAAGTTTGACAAAAATCACATTTGAAGCAATCTTGATTTTAAATGTGATCCCTGGCAACTGCCTTGAGAGACAGATCCTTGCAAAACACAGGGAACCAACAAAGGCTTTACATTGATATGTGTACTACATCTGAACACAGTAACAATTAAACCAAGTTCCTGTATACATACACAGATGTTCAAAGAGACAATTTCTATTAATTTGGCTTAGTTGCCAGCAATACACATAGACACATACTACACTAAATCTGACATTTGGACCTTTTGCTCTTTTTACATATACCAATGTTTTAAAGACCATATTCATGGTATGGATAATAACATGATTTTTTTTTAAAAAATGTTGGCTAATGTTAACGCATAATGTTTAGGTATCAGTTTAATATACAAACTATTTGTCATTTGTGTCCACTACAATTGAACTTTCACACAGAAAAAGAAAATATAAGAAATCAATAATCATATCGTAAATCTTACTGAAACAGGTTCACGACCTACACTAATCAGTTGTAATTTAAAACTCCAGGCTACAGAAATAGGAGAGCTATCTAGTGAACAATATCAAGTAAAGTTAAGTATAAGGCTTTGTGTTGAGTCTTCAAAATACTGTCGTGTATATGAACATCAGTTGGAAATGTGTTTTTACTAATTATCTTAGTTAATTATAGCAAGATCCATAACTACACTATGCACATTACAATAAATATACATAAATATCAATTAGATATAGTTTAAAAAAAAGTGAAATAAATCATCAAGATAACTATTCTATCTTTATAACCATCATTTCTTTTTGCATATAATGGGATCTAAAATGCGACATTCACAAATTGCATGTTGCTGTGTTAATTGATTCACCAACAAATTCATGAAAGAAATTGCCACCCTGAACCTGGCAGCCGAAGCTTTTGTTTGAAGCTTTTGTTGGGACTTTTCAACCCTTTTCTTGGTCAGTGAACACTACAAATTGGCCTGAAACGTTGGCTGTGTTTATGATTTCCAATTTTTTTTTAAAGGAAGATTAGTAGGAAATCATGCCAACTAAGTCAAAATTTGAGTGTCGTGACTTAGAGTATGTGAATGCCACTTTTATGTGTACCTGGGTATGCATCTGTTTTCCATTGTATAAAGGTGGATTTTATGTGCAAAGATGACGATAAGTAAAATTGTCAGTGATTCTGTACCTTTGACTTAAATAGTGTGAAGAAGATTAGTGTTATTCATAGTCAACAATTCATTTGTACAAATTCTTTCGAAACCTAAATTAGATGATTATAATAACCTGTGTTTAACTTTGTCTTCAGTAAACATTCCACTAAAATAGCTTGATATTTTAGAAGAAACAGTTGTTAACGTTATCCTAACATATACAAAACTCTTCATGATCACATTTTGAGCCAATTATCCTGATAAACATTATAAATATTTATCAGTGCAGTTAATTTTCTTCCAATTTCTGCTTTAAATAATACACGTTAAGAGTTTTACATGGAATGGCACTGCAGCATACAAAAATAAAAACACTTTAGCAAATATTAGAATGCTACACTATGTCAAAATACATCAAAAGTACTTACAAAACACTCAGAAATACAGATCTAAAAACAGCTGGTTTACTACATGTATAATACGCTATATACAACCATGGTTTTACTTTTTAGCTGCGCACAAAATTCTACAGAAATTAGAAGCATTAATCTCATGCAAACGATAGAAAACGGACAGATTTATTATTTATTTATTATTATTATTTATTATTTTCTACTAAGTATTTACTAGACATCAGCTTGGCGTAGCTTGATGCTTTAAATAAATCTCGAAAGGAGTGTTGCAACATAATGCTGAAACCTGACAATTATTTGACATTACAATCAATACTTTAAGGCTGAGTTCCAACTCAATGTTATGGATAGTGGTTGTTTTCTAAATAAATTGTTTTAATACTGCAAATTTAAGGTGGGAGGGGTGGTTTGAAAGGGTAAATTGCTGAAATAATTCATTATTAAACATGGTTTGGTCAACAGGAATCATCACATTGAGCCCCACTCCTGACACCACCTGGATGAGATGAGATAGTTTCAGGAACAGTTTAATTTGCTGGGCTGTGGCACTGGATGCCCAGGAAGCATTTTTTTAATTAAAATATTATTAAGGAGTCAGTTGCATGATTAACTCTTTCTCAACATTAAAAACTTATATCCAATTTTGGTGTTCCGTGGATATCTTGAGTTGTACATGAGCAAGACTTTAAAATCTGGTGCTAGCTTTTCTTTAAAAAGGTCTCAAATGTGATGTGGAGTGGAAGGTATAAATCAGGCATTCACTCTAATAAAAGTTACAGTACAATGTTATATACATAGAGGGTCCAAGACCATTCCATTGCCAGAAAACAGAAAATTAGCTTGTGCAAAATAGCTCTCTCCACTATTGGGAAGGGGATGGGAGAGGGAAAGAATATACCGTAGACCAGGTGATAGTAAATCACATTGCAGCAAATAGATATGGACACATTTTTGAAAGGTGGATTCCATTTGTTATTTAAATTGAGGATTGCTTATTAAATCTTTTTATACTGTTAGAATGCAATGTCTCAGTAACCTTGCAAAGAGTAAATACCAAGTTAAAATGACTAGCCTACTATGCTGCTATAGGTTTAATAATTAAATCGTGCTTCCACTTGGGCCTAATATTGTATTTTACATTTTTTTTTAGTTCTTGAATATGCTGCTTTTTGCACAGCACGTGGACTTCCCTGTTAGCTCTATTAATCTTAATAAAATAATTTTCCTTACTCAATAAGATTGAAGAACACCATTAAAGATTGCCTAGATACAACAGATCTAAGTGTGCTTTTATATATTGTATGTAAAAAAGCTAGAGCAAATAAAAAAGTTCCACAGGCTGCAGTGTTGTCTGCAAGATATGATGGTTAAGGCATGGATCTGAAGTGCATATGGCATTATTTTTAATGGATACCAACATGACCAGATCCCCCTGCCCTTCAAAAAGGCAAGTGAACACAGTCACTGATGCGTAGATATGCTCAAACACACATATACACACCAAATTAGACGATTAATTAAAATTGTTCCAGTTTCCACAATTCACTGACTCAGGTTAATCGTATTCAAATTAAACTTCAGTTTAAAGTCAATGTCGCAGTTTTCTCAAATGAGTTCAATAAGTTAAAGATTGGACTTGTGTGTGAGAGAATTATTTTCGCATCCACTAATTTTTGTTTACTCAGAAAATGGTGGAAATATGCTTAGATCAGCAAAGTCCTCATTATTGTAATTTCCAGTGCCCTGTGTTGGATCTCCAAGCATTGATAGCATATCCTGCAAGTAGAAAACAATCAATCAATTAAGCATTTATTTGGATCTTCAAATATTTAGATTTCTAGGCCAATTTTGTGAACGAACAAAAATATTATCAAGAGATGTCTCGACAAAGCACTAAAACATAACATCATTGTGCTATATTATTAGCTCCTATAATAATCCACAAAATAAATAACTAATATAGAACAAATACCAATATACAAGATATAATACATTTCCAAGCTAATAATTGTCTCAAAATGAACAGTTTAATATGTTTAAAAGAAAAATATTACTGCACTCTGGTTATACACCAAAGAGCCACTTTTTAGGCCCAAATGACAAATTGATGTGGCATAATTGTGAAAAAAGTGACTTCCACATCACTAGATTTCGAATTTTGATTTGATCACCTTTGTTGAGCTCAATTAAGCAGGTTCAAAAATTGCTGACAACATAATCTCGGAAGTCAGATAAATCAACAAGTCACCAATTCTCAGAAACAAAGTAATTACAGGACAGTTCCTTTATGAGCATAATTGACCAGGTCCAAAGTCTCAGATGCTGCATTATCCGAAATGTAGAAAAATAACCAGATCATAAGGTTGTCACTGACATCAGTTCCTTCATGTTGCACCAATGCTTCCCGTGTAAAAAGGGCAACTTTTGAGTCGTCAGGTTGTCACTGATGCAACTTCCTGTGCACATGTGCATGAGGCATCGCTGATGCCACTTTATTCGTGAAGCACAAAGCATACGTACACAGGGAGTAATGTTGGCGTAACCCAGTGACCCGGAAATCGACTACTTTACAATGAGTTTTACAACAGGATTGCCCTGTAATAACATTTCTACAAATCTATAAAATTGAGCTCTACTTACCTGGAACACCTCAGGCTGTCCAGGCTGTGAGTGAGTGTGCTGCTCATTTGTTTGCTGGTTGTGATGTTGGCCTTGCCACTGAGACCAGACAGCTGATCCCTCTGATGATCTGCCTTGGAACTGTCCACTATTCTGTCCACTCTCACCTGTGAATGGTATTTCATTGCATCAGACATACAAAGCAATATAATGCAAGTAAAGCAAATGCAAATTTAACTTCAGCTCATAAGACAAAGTCAACAGTTTAGAACTAATTTGGAGCTTATCAGCCTTTCATGCAGTCCCACCGTAAAACTGACTCCTGAACCTGGAGGGCGCCACTTAACGCATAATTTTTTTTTGTGTGGAATTATGAGAATAATACTGTGATTGACCACTTCTTGTAGACTGAGTTTGTATAGCAAATTAAATCCAATTAAATATACAAGACTCATCACATCTAGAGTGTGTTAACAGTGTAAACTGGAGGTTATACAACCATTTAGTATTGGCCCTGTCACAGAAACATGTTGGATGCAGACTTTCAGTTGCAACAGTCACAACTGGTACTCGGGTAATACAGTGACTATCCCACCAGAGTAATTTCATATTAGGAATATTTTGGAGCTGTTTATTTCAATCATTTATTTCAATCATAATAGATAGAACGCAATCGATAAAAACAAGTGTGTATTTGGTTACCTTGCCCTTTTTAAAAATTTTCTGCACTTAAATCAAATTAGTGTTTTCGCAATTGCATTTATTTTCCAACTAGCAAAGCAGCTACTAGCTAGATTTCTACAATTGATAAGTCAATTAATTTTAGATGGAGATTGTTTCAACTTTCAAAATGGATTATGAAGGGATTTTATGATATCAGCTTTCCTTTTGTATTGTAAAACCCCATTTCACAACAACTTATTCCATTTATAAAATCATATGCATGTGTAAACAGCCTTTTCAACATCCAAACAGTTCTGACATTTTAACCCTTAATTCTATGAAAATGTGCTTCTCCCAGTTCAAACAATTCTGTGTTTTCATGTTCTGTGATGCTAACCAAAGTACTCATATAATAATATTTTTCTATCAAAGGCTAACAAGTTCCTATCGGTGATATGGTCTGGTCAGACTTGGTTGTAAGACCAGTTTTTAAACTTGTTTTTTATCCAAAAATAATATTGTTTTAATACGGTTATACTGAAATATTGTTTTTATACAGAGCATGGAGAAGAAAGTTAAGTAATTTATTTTAAACTTAGTAAAAGTTATAAAATAAGAATTACAATAAGTAGAGAGGTATAATGTGTAAAAAGTGAAATATAGTTAAATAAAAAATAGGGAATAATAATAATCCTTGCATTTGATATAGCACTTTTCACGTCTTCTCGATATCTCAAAGCACTTTACAGAATATACTGTAAAGTGAATGACTGTATATTTGTTTTTAGGGTATTAATTAGTAAACAAAATGGTTGGAAAAGAATTTCTTCATTTAAAGGATGTGGAATTCATTAGTGCCTATGGCTGTTGAGGTGGGATCAATAGAAACCTTCAAAAAGAAACTGAATAAGCGCCTAAAAAGTAAAAAGAACATTGAGGGATGAGAAGGAAAGAACTGAAAAGTGGCACAAACAAAAAGTGGTGACTTAATAAAAGCAGTGTTAGCATTGATACAATCACGATAGCTGAATGTACTGCTAGTATGCTGAAAATGTCTGTCAGTAAGCTTTGTCTTTTATTCAACGTCGCATCAGTCAGCATGCAGAGACAGGAATCTCTCTCGACTTGCTGGCATGTGTAAAGGGATAAGGAGATAAGAAATAATTTTCGCTGTTAGCTAGCCCTGCAAGTCTGGGACAAGAGGAGTCCAAAAAAAGAGAAAAAAATAAATGAATTAGGAAAATGGAAAAGATTTACAAAATTTCAAATGATACCTAAGTTGAAATGAAGAGACATTTTCTCCTAGAATTCTAACTGTTCTAATTACAAGCCATGAATTTCCGGGTAAATATGCAAGGGAAACTCACGCCAATTCAATTACTGCATTTCGGTGATGAGCTCAGAAAGTTTCCTGCTTACCAAAGCTAGCAGCTCGATTTCCCAGACTGGTGTAGGAAGGTCCACCGGGTGAAGATGTAGACACTGGGCTGGAGAGAGGGCTGAATGTCGATGGGTCTGCTGGAAACGTGTGACTTGAGCCCATAGCAAACGTTGGTGACTGAGTCTTACCAGACTGCGATGGTACTTGCTAAAAAAGGACATCACCTTTATTATTATTATTGCCAATGGAAATAGCTCAAATCTAAACAAGTATCAATAAAAATCAGAATTGACTGCATGATAGAAAGCAGCATATTCAAGAGAGAATTAGCTATGGCAAAGAAACTGATTGAACGCTATGAGAGACGGTAGTGTTTTTTCTATNAAAAAAACTTTGGCCAGGTGAATGCAAATGGTCTTGTACATTCTTACGTAAACTTAATTTTAAACAATACAGTTTAGGCAGGAAAATTGAAGTTGTCACTTTGCTTAAATGAGGTAAGAGCACTGGTACAACAACAGCTCAACTATATTACAGGTAACGTACTGCTCCTTGCAATAGGCAGTTGGCACAAAGTACTTCAACGGCAATAAGGCGAATCATGTTGACATTTGGATGCATTAAAAGAGCCAAGCTGAATACAAATTAGAAGTTATATCAAAATACATGACTATACATGATTAGACCCTGAAGCTGTGTGGAATCACGCAGCATGAGTTACATATTAGTAACTAGCTCTTTGGTTTCAAGAAAAGTAAAGAATTTATTTTTTAGTGCTGAACTATGCATGAAAAGAACTGTGAAAATATTTTTATAAATGTTGAAATAAATCTTGCTTGAAAGCATTCCATGTTCTAACTCTGCTCATGTTTGAAGTTGAGAAAAAGTCAGACTCAGAAATACTTTCCAAGTAAATTAGTATGATGACAGATTGATGATCACAAGATCATAGACTCTGCCCACTCCTGTCAAAATTTGTGATGCTCTGTGTTCCGATTTCTCAGTATCCTAACATACATGGCTGGTACTACACAATGGTACATTTGCTTGCCAAAATAATAGACAGGCTGGTAAAAATGCACTGACAAAAATAAAATCCAGTTGGAAAACAGAGATCAAACTTGCAGATTCAATCCAATGGTATTTGTACTCTATGTAAACACTTCCAACCACAATTTCCATAAGTACCCACATGTTGTAGCAATTCAACTTGAATGCAACTGTCAACAAACGTCAGAATACTTGGGAAGTTACAAAATAGTTTAACATATTTTCCATATTATGCTTCACAGAGTACTGCAACTCAACTTATATAGTTCGGGCTCTTTTAATACATCCTTAATAACGAAAAACAAAATTGTAACCTATTGTTCTGTTTATATTTACTCATCTTACTTGCTTNAAAAAAAGGTTTGTGAACAAAAACATTACCACACAATTGCACAACACTGAGCAGGATTCCAATAGAATTACATCTGACTCCTAAACACTTCACTTCAAATGAGTTTTAGGTTACAATCATCCATCCCTCAGGGTAGAATTTACCAAATTCAGCAACTAGTTTGATTTTCTTTCAATAGAAAAGAACGAGAATTTGTATTTTGCAGATAGCTTCATGGAAGATCACAAGATCACAATCTTTGTTTGGGTGAATAAGGCCCTTCGGCCCACCTGACCTCATGAACTCCCAGCACAGCATCAAGCTGCGTTTAAATGAGTCCAGTGTCTTGGACTCAACCACGTTTCCAATAAACCTGTTCTGGTCCTTAATTACTCTCTGGATAGAATAAACAGAATGTTTAAATCTTAGTGTTATTAGGTGATACTACTGTGTCTTATTATGCTATGAATTGTTTGTAAAGCTGTTGACCACATGGTGAATTCCTGATTTTGGCCACCCATTTATAGAACATGATAAGACTTAAGATTCCCAAATGTACAGTATGTATGTGTGTGTGTATATATATATATATATATACACATATAGAAACACAAGTGACAGGGTCAGTTGACGAGCATGCATCTTGCTCCGAGAACCCTGCCAGTGTTGCTCTAGATTTAATCTCTCGGTGATGAGCAACAATATCCAAGGTAAATCAAATGCCTGTTGATTTTCCCCTTTTCCTCTGTGTGAGCTTCAAAGAAACTGGAAAATAGCAAACAATCAGCTTCTCGAGCCCGGGGGGTAAAATGTATTCTTTGATATACATTTCGATCCTTAGCTACAGGCAATACTTGTACTAGTAAAACTTATTTGTCAGGTGGAAGCAGAGAAAATTTAGGTGAACCAGCAGTTGTGTCAAAGTACAAGGTTTGTATAATCTTATGGCTTGCTGAGAGAGTGGGGGTGGGGTGGAAATCTCTCACCTCAGTAACACAGAAAACAGGATATTAAATGACTCATGAACTTGGGTTGTAATTGCAGTAGCCTAACAAGATCCCTGGAACGTGTTATTACCATTATTGTGATAGAGTGACTTTTTTCAAAATTGATGGTGAGGGGGTTATTTCCTGATAAGATCATTGTTTATCCAAGGGGATATCTACCTACAGCTTGCTCCAGCACCTGCAGCTGGTAGATATGATCCTTTAATGGTGAAGCTTACCATCATTGTCTGCTTATCAGCTGTAGACTGGTTTTAAATCCTGCGTGTCTAACGCGTTACTACTATAGTTAACTCTCTGGCTCAAACTTTAAAACCATTTCTCGGAAAATTTAAACACAAAATTACTTTTTACTGGCAAAGGGAACATAGATCATTTTCAATTGCAACACATCTCAACACATACTGATGTTGACAAACACCAGGAAAGAGTGCAATGACGAGGTATCTTTACTAAAGCAGGAAGACTTCTACATGTGTTACAGCCATTGTTTGCAAAGGGAGAACGTATCACAATGCACATCCGTTTTATACAGCTGCAAAGGATCACCATCTGTTTCTTTTTCCTAAGATAAGGAACTGCAGCATTATGATGCCAGAAGGTTACTCTTACCAGTGAAAGAGTTAAAGGAACTATGGTATAGTCTTTCCACTAAACCAAAGCAACATTCTAATGATTGCCATTGTAGATACTGGTGATAAAATACAGGATTTCTATTAAGAATTCTTATCCCACTGACCTGCAGAAGCTCTACTCCAGGTGTAAAATGTGTCAGAATGGATTTTTTTTGTGTGGGTTGCCGAACTTATGTTACCAGGAGTCCAAACTCAGATTCATTATTAAGGAATCCCATTAGAAATTCTGTGTCTTAGACCTCATTGTCTAGTTTAAGGAGGTAAGCGGTCGCCTCGGAACTGAACTGGCTCCAAGGTGAAATGTCTGGCAACGGAGCATCGGAATTGAGCCAGCCCTCTGTGGAGGTCTTGGTAGTCTGGTTCCTGAGCCAGGCGGGTCCACAGTACTCCAGGGCACTGCTGATGACAGCACAGCCAGCCTGGCACATCAGCAGTCCTTGCACCAGCAAACCAGTCACTGGGGGCAGAAATCCTCCCACACAACTCCTGTTAACTCTGCAAGCCAAAGCCCTAACAGGTAAGGTGGTCCTAGCTGGACAAGCAGCAGGCAAGCTTGCCAAACTGTTCTATGGATGGCAAACTATGTGGTTTTAGCTGGTTAGACTCCAGCAGTTACTCCAACGCACGCTCTGGCTCTTGCCAACCTGTGCTTAATACTTTCTGGAATTAGGTAAGCATGATGCGTTTTTCCAGGAAGAGAGTGTGCATTCTATTCCAACAATCTATGTTGTAAAAGTAGGATTCATGGAATTCTCAGTTTGGTTTGGATACTCTTAAGCAATGGTGACGGGTTTCTGCATGTGTCAGACACCCGGCTGATCAAAATAAATATATACAAGTGCAGTGAAACATTTTGATCAGAATTTCTATAAATATATTTTTGAGAATGACACATTACGGAATGTTTTATTTACAACATATTTGTGAAGTTACAGTAGACCATCATGAAGTAATTGTTTCATTTTATCACGCCACAAAGTATTTGTACGTCAAAAGCTTTCCAAATCCGCAAACACTTTTGTTCCTTGCTTTTGCAGACGTCAATATAAAATCAGCTGAAATATTTTTTGCATGACTAAGAAATGCAATCCACTGTCATTTTTACTTGCTTTGTTTTGATTCCATTCAGCTTAAAGATTTGCAACTGCATTAACTACCTAAAAGGAGCAAGTCTATTGATTGTCTTGGCGTTTCCTCAAACAGCATCAGGAAATGGAAATTCATCGACATAGTGTTCAGAAGATGTTTCCATGTGCTTTGTACTCCAAGGTGGGCAAAGTGGAATATCAGTTCTGTGTCCAGCCGAAAGCCTCATTGGTAACAGAGGCTGAACAGAGAATTGTTGAATTGGCCTCAAGTCAGAAAAAAACAGGATTCCTGGAGCCAACTTTCTCCTCAGTTCAGAGTGAAAGCCATTTAGTACCCTTACATTAATCTCTCCGACACTTCTGTCACTCCCTTGCGAGCCAAACAAACAGTGAGGCAGGGGTTATTATTGAGAGCATGAATAAGGAGGAATGGAGTTAGAAGCAAAATCAATAAATTATATTTTCAGCTCCAATCATCACAATGAAAGGGCAGCCCACCCAAAGGAAAGTAGTTTGGAAACACACTATATAATTGTGTTAATTCTCTTTCTTGCTTTGAACTTTTTGTTGCCCCAGGCAGCACTGGCGACACCGCTGACATGTCAGCTCTATCTGTAGTTGCCAAGTCTGAATTTATACACCAAGCTTCTCAAGTCTACGCTATGCAAGCTGTGCACCTCCAATGTGATGGGTTTTGATGGATGTACACAGCAGGACTGAGCCAGTGCATGCACAGAAATAACCCATTTTCTAAGGTGCAGAGCAGCATTTCAAAAAAGATGTTCATCCTACCATGCTAAACGGTGGGAAACGGTTACCTTCTTTACCCACTCGTGACAGAAGAGTGCAATTTATAGTTATAATAGCGGAAGCAAAAAGATCACCGAGACTGCTGCTTTCATTGCCTCAATGTTACTCGTGGTCATATAGCTTTTCCAAATAATGCAATAAATAGCTAGGGCTATTTGTTTGTTTTCTATGCCTTGAAACCTTTCCAGAATAGAGCAAAGAGAATATCAGTTAGCAGAATATTAATGTATGGTTTGATAATCTGATGAGTAGGGATCCTGTTACAAGCCTTCAACTACTAATGCTTTAAGAAAATTGATATAGTTTTTTAAGGCCTTTTTAACAGATAGCAACCCTATGGGTCAAGCCAACTCATCAATCGAAGCAAAGAAAAGATTTTTGTAAATAACGACAGCTGGAGTTGCGGGTGGCATTCCTGATCCTTGTTTCTGGTGCTGCTCTGTTCTGGATGAGGTCATTTCCTCAAAATAATAATCCTTGCATGTGATGTAGCACCTTATTACATTGAAATGTCTCAAAGAGCTTCACAATAATTACTGTTATGTGTGGTGTTTCTGTAATGACAGGTAGGCAATCAACTCATTGGATAATGGGAAATCCCATTAAAAGGTACTTTGGAAACCCCAATAATGCTATTTTTGGCACTATTTTAAGAGACCAGTGCCTCAATTCTCTTTCTATTACAACAGATTTAATTGCATAAAAAAAGTGGTCCCCAAAATCACACAAGGAACGTCAAGGTCTTATCAATAAAAAACTGAAAATATATATTTTTTAAATGTTTCCATTATAAACACACACAATGAAAGTTAATTATATTGATGATTTTAGAAAACGAAATTCCTATTTAAACATTTCAAGTCGATTTTGGTAGTGTTTGACAATCTATACTATAGCATGATACAGCACCTGTCCGGGGAAAGATGGTCGAGTTCCAGTCCAAGATGTTGCAGAAACCTGATTAGCATTTGACTGGCGAGATATCTGAGCTAAAATCTGGCCCGCCGAGGACGCCTGTTGAATAATGTTTCCACCAGGTACCATTGAAGTGCTGGAGAGTATATAAGACATTATCAGTTGACTAGTCACTACATTCAAGTATTACAAAAGCTGGTATAGTTGTAAAAGATTTAAAGTAACAGTTTTATTATTTATATTTGTTTTATTTCAAATGTTCATAACATTTATAAAAATGATTTATTTATAGCCAAACTTAAACACAGGGCTTAATTTACAATTTAACTAATATATATCCATTTTTCTCCCATTATTTGCTGTAGATGTGAAATAAGAATGCTGATCAAGGAGATTCCTCATGACTAATTAGTTGGCATCAAATTGGGCGGAATGCTTTCTTTTAGTCTTCTATTTTATATCATTTTTACGGGATCGTCTAGATAGGGATAACACCAATAGATTTCTCTTACAATATGAATCAACATCTAGAACTCTAAATGTGACGAACAGTTTGGATTAGCTGCAAAATACAGCACCCTCCAAACTATTCCAACAATGTACCTTAACTCTCACTTCAAAAATATGCATGTTCTGTGCCAGCCTGGCATTTCCCTTTCCTATAAACAGCCTATCTAAGGAGACAAACGCAAAACTTAGATTGTGTCATGCCATTGAATTGAGACAGGCCAAGTAATTATAGTAAGATATCTGATAGGCTTCCAATCTAGTGACAGTTTATTTGAAAGCCAATGCAGCAGCTGATTTGCACACAGCAATGTCCCACAAACAGCCATAATATAATAGTAAACCTTGGATTTGATATAGCACTTTTCATGTATTCTAGATGTTTCAAAGAGCTTCACGGAATATACTGTCAAGTGAATTGACTGTATATTTGAGAGTGAAACGCGGCAGCCAATTGCGCTCAGCAGTGTCCCACAAACAGTCGTGGATTGAAGTGACCAATTTATTATTTTTACTATTTACTATTATAGAGTGCATAACCAATTCATCTGGAAGCTTCTTGGCCCAGACACCGGGAGAAACTCCTTTCTCTTTTCATGCCTGGCTACACCAAGACTTGAAAAGCTTCCAGTTACATGTCAGTGGCAAAATGAGTGAACAACAATGGTTTTAATGGATCTGGCTGAAGTGCCTCAAATTAAATCAGCTTAAATCGATAGGAGTAAAGTATCACCAGTATGCTTAGATTTACCTAAATGTTTGTCCTGATCTTCCAGGTTGAAAAGAATTTCCTTGTGAATAAATCTGTTGGCTGCTTGCAGCTGACGGTGTAGACATCGTCTTCTTTTCACCTGTATTTATTTTTTTAAAAATCATAAGTTGAATCACCTCTTAAGTTATAACTAGCTGAAAGATTATTTAGTTAATTTGTGAATAGAATGGAAATATTTATGGCAGCATTGATGGAAAATCCAAGGTGTGCATTAAAAAAAGGACAAGCTGCAGCTCTTGATTCTCTGCCTACATTCTTTAAATACATTTATATACATACTTTGAATAAATTCTGCTTTAAATATATCCTTTTTTAAAGATGATTTTCCTCACAGACTAGACGTGATGATTTATTTTCCTTGCTAAACCCTCATGAAGGCATTAACTCTTCCAGGCATTTGTTTCCACAGGGGCCCTCTGGTTCCTTACCCAAATGAATATTATTCGTGCGGGAGCATTGAAACCAAGCCTGATCTTGTCCTTAGGCAACATCCATACATAGGCACCTCCAGCAGGGGTCACTGGATGCAGTAGTAATGAGAACAAGACACCCTGGCTGATTCTTTCCTCCCTACAACAGCAACATTCTGCCATCCTGCCTGATCAGCTAGCTCAGGGCAGACTTGCGTAAATCACTGCAGGTCGTCTTTTCTCACCAAATTAATTTAAAGTTCAGCAAAACAATATTGGTAATAATATCAAAGTTAGCTCTGGATTATGTATGCTCGCTCGGTCACAAGATGATCAGGAAGTGAACATCTGGAGATTATTATGTGCTCGTACAGCAAAACAGGATGTCGCCTCCCGGGAAGCTGAAGCTTATGTCAGAGGCCACAGAACAAGAATACTGAGATCCAACCATATCAAGAGTCTGATACCCAGAATCGCAAAGGTGGCCACCACCTTTAGTACACAGTGTTCCATCTAATTCCTGCACCCCACTGTCGGAATTGAACACAAAAATTCTATGGTCAGAAAGCCTTTGGCAATGAGACTGTGCAAAGCTGTCTGGAATTCAGCATCTGTACAGACAGTTCCCACTGTTTCTTAATTCAAAGCCACATTCATGTTGCCCTGTGTGTGTGTGTGGTGGATAGGGGGGGCAGATAGCAGTGTTGGATGGGCCAACAGTCTAAAAAGAATATTATAGTAGGAAAGCCTACCACTGCTGACTAACTCTTGGTAAATACCCTGGACTCGTGTTACTACATTGATTGTTTATTCCCTCTACAAATAAATCTCAAAATCTTCTGACAGGATCTTGTGGTGTTGGGCTTTGAGGTCCAACAATATTACTCAGACTCCATGCCTCACTTTGTTCTCCTTGAATATTAAGCAAACCTTCCTAGTGAGCTAATAGGAAGAATCTTAAACTTTTCATTCAGAATAAACAATCAAGATCTTTCAGTCCATAATGGGAGAAGAGTCTTCCATCCACCTGGGAACAATGAAGTAGCAAAAGTAGAATTTGTGACTGGTCTAATGGAATTTCTCAATATGAATTCAATACAGCAGCAGGAGAGGCAGGAGATGTTAAGGCTTCCCTGACAGTAACATTCCACTCCCTGACTCTCTCAAGGAAATCCAAACAGTGAAATTATCCTTTAGAAATGAAAGGAATAAATTATCAGACATTCAGTGTGGGGGTAAAAATTCCATCTGGGCTAGATTTACTCTATTTATGTAGTATTTCAGTGTGTCCAATTTTGGCAAATTCAGTCTTAATTGTAATACTGGTTTTCTGACAAGTTCTTTCAAGAACTACGGAAAAACAACTTCAAAGTTAAGACTAAACTTCTGAACACTTTTGAAATGCTGCATAATGTAAATCTAGACCCAGGTGGAATTCTCCCCATTGATGTTATATCAAAGTTAATAAGTGAGCAAATGAATTAAAAAATTGCAAGCAAGGTACTGTACTTCAACCAATACTAAATTTGTAAAAAAAAAGACACTTAAGGCTAGATGGAAACTGTCTGAAAGCTAACTTACTCTATACCTTTCAACTGAACAAGCTTTTCATTGCCTTATAAATTACTCTGCTTCATCCTGTTTTTACATGCATTTTCTGATTTTTAACAAGAACAAAATTACATTTGTCTTGTGCCTTTCACGTCGGGTGGATGACTCAAGGCCCTGGACAATCAGTGTTTCGGACCCGAAATGGGGGTCGGGATCTGGGGAGGGTGAAGGGCAGGGGGAGAAGGAGGGTGATCGAAGGCACGGTTGAAGAAGAGGACCTTGAGACGGGTCTTGAAGGAGGCAAGGGAGGTGGCGAGGCGGTGGGACTGCGGGATGGAGTTCCAGAGGGTGGGGGCAGAGTGGCTAAAGGCCTGTCAGTGAGGAAGCCAGTAAGGTGGAGTGTGCATTCTTGGATGGCGATGCTGTCAGTGCCTGAGGTGTGGAGGCACTGACGGGAGCCAATCAGGAGGGCTTCGATCTTGTTACCGTTCAACTGTAGAAAGTTAGCTTTCATCCAGGACTTGTCAGAAAAGCAGTGGTCCTGGAGTCGAGGGTGGAGGCAGAGAGGTAGAGTTGGATGTCATCCGCATACGTGTGGAAATTGACCCCATGTCTGCGGATGATGTCACCAAGAAGGAAGATATAGATATTGATGAGGAGTGGACCATGGACAGAGCACGAGATGGTGCGGGCGCGAGAGAAACCGTTTGTGGTGATGAAGTGGAGACGGTGTGAGAGGTAGGAACCATTCGACAGAACCATGAAAGTTGAGGTGAGAGGCGGTGGAGGATACAGTGGTCAATGGTATCAAAGGTAGCAGAGAGATCAAGGAGGACCAGTGTCTTAAGTGCACATCTCATTGGCGATTCAATTTTAGTTTGAGTGATTTGACTTTACTGCTGATTTGACCTTTATAACTCTTTTTACTGAGTCTTTCCTCTTTTTCTACACTGATTTATATTCCCCAATTTCATCCAGCAGCATTCTCCACCATATCCTATACGGAAACACATCTCAATTCACTCACACTGTGGAAGGTCATTACTGAGCCAGTCATTCTTTCCTCTTCCTTTCCCAATCTTACGTAAAATCTCCTCTCCATTTCTTCTGATTTTGGTTGGCATAAGGAAATTGTACCCGACATTGAAAATAGCTCACTCCTACGTACTGGAGCCTGTATAATCACTGCAAAGCTTGACATTTGGAGTCGAAATGTGAACATTTTAAGTAGAATTGTGATCACGACCAAACTGCTGATAGATTGCCTGAGGCCAATAAAAGTTAAGACACTGGGGCCAGTTAGACGGTATAAATTGGCAGTTAACAAAGTAGCTAATGAAATTGGGCACATGGGAGTTACGAGAGGATTGGAGTAGATTAATATTTCATTTTGGAGGAAAAAAGTAGTGTAACATGTCAGGGTATTTGTTTACTGAGTAAAGCTAAAGCAGGCAATGACAGACAGATTAAATATAGCTTTCCTTGAAGCATGTACTATTTATCCGCAATATCCACTTGTCATTCATGAATGTTCTACCCCTTTAGCTAGAACTATGAAGGACAAGATAAGTGTTTTTCAGCTCCTTTTAAGTGCATGCCTATTTAATAGTATATTGCCACTAAATATGGAAAATATATCAACACCGTGTGTGTTATTCTTTGAGTCTGGAATTGCTTTTCTATGAATTCTTATGAATAGTTGAGTAACCACCATCTGTGATTTTATTAAAGAAACAATCCTTCCTAGTGAGCAAATAAAAAAATCAAATGAGAAGCGTTAATTAATTGGGAACTCTGGTTACAACAATAATAATTATTGCATTTGATATAGCATCTTATCACAAAGCGTTTTAGAATATACTGTAAAGTGCATTGACTGTATATTTTGTGGGCATGTGAATTTGATAAGATATATTGCTTTTTTGTTCCCAAACCTACAAAAGGTTTGTATTGCAGTAGCCCTTTTTCTACCTATTAATCTTTGAAATCATATTTCAAAGCTTCACAATATTGAACCTTTCACACAGTTGCTGTATAATATCTGTAGAAACTCACTTTCAAGAATATTTTTGACAGAAGAAAAATCTGTGAAGGGATGAAACAGCTTCTTAAGTATTTTGAAACAATATAATTGTTTGTTCTGACTTGAAATTATTATTTGGTTGTTAGTCATTGCAGCAAAGGAGAATTAGAAAAATTTGATTCATACTATCGATAAGACACAAAGTATACAAAAAATATACTCACCCGGTGAAATACCTGTATAGATCTCTGTGAACCTGGGGTCCCTGTCTTGAGCAAATAATGGATCTGATTTGTCAATAGACTTCCCGTGCTCTTGAACGTTTGCAGACACAGTTGGAACAGGGACCTTTACAAGAAATAGCTACATGAATCGTTGATGCCACCAATTCCTTCTGAAATGCAAGCCGTGATCTTTGCAACAGAAAATGTTTTCTAAAAGTTATCCTTATTTATACAAGCTAATTGTATAATAACATATTCTCAGCAATAATATACAATCTCATTTGATGCGCTAAACTTCCTTTAAAGTAGCACTGTACTTGTGAGAATTCTTTGTACTACCTGGGAAGGGTCATAGGATGTTAGCCCCTCTCTTGGAACAACTTCAAGCTCTGCTTGCTGTTGCTGTTGGAGTTGTCTGTAATGTAGAATTTAAGCACAAATGGAAGCAAATTCATAATGACATTATTCAAATTAGTCATCAACTAAAAATAAATCAAGCTGTTTTGAGATGGGCTTCTAGCTCGTTACATTTATAAAAGACTATGATTTGGAGTCGAGGTCTAATTTTACAACTCATCGAAATTACTGACTGCAGCATTAAAAATTATAAACCGGATCACCAAAAATATGCCACGTTCAGCAGTTGTTCTTTAAATATTAAATTACTTTAAACAGCTTTGAGAAAAGCTTTCATACATGTCATGACAGTTCTCGTGTTGCAAACTTGAGTTTATGTTCAAACATCTCATCAACATTTTTCTGGAATTTGTAAGCATGGTTTAATATAAATTAATTAAGTTCACTGACTTCTAGAAACAGTTGAAAATGGTTTAATGAACTTCACACAGCAGTTGGTTAAAAATGGCTTTGCTTTCTTCATTAGAATTATAATATTCTAATTAAAAGAGTAAACAATATCTAACAGTAAACATTATCTACCAATTAATTTTTTTTAAAAACGTTGAGTTGACATTGCAATAGCATCACAGATGGTTTGCATTTTAAAGCAGTTCAAAATATTCCAATCTTAAGCAATTGTAGGCACTGACCTATAACTACCCCCAAAAGTGTGGTCAAACTATTTTATGCATCAATGAATCACAAAAGCGTATCTACAATCAATTTAAATGAACCTATCATAACTGCTACCTCAAAGAAAACTGCCACTTTTAATTACTATAAATTACACCAGGTCAATTATTTTGAAGCCCCATTCTGTCAAAACTGTCTGAAAGACATTCAAAGATGAACATAATCTTGATTCAGCACAATGCACTATTACTCAACTGTGGCAGATAGCAGGAACACAGAGGTATGGGTCAGCATAATGCAGATTTATGTCAAATGGACTTAAAGAAACAACATCTTGCGGTAAAGTTAAAACAAATAGTGGATAGAGGGATTAAGGGATATGGGAATAGGACGGGCAAACGGAGTTAGGTTAGAAGATCAGCCATGATCTTATTAAATGACAGGGCAGGCTCGAGGGGCCAAACGGCCTACGCCTGGTTCCTACGTCTTATGGTCTTATAAATATTCACAAATTTACATTGGTACTTTTAAACCATTGAAAAACTTGATAAACTTATCAGCTATTCAAACAAAAATCAATTGAAAATTAATAGAACAGGAGGTCTGATGAATAAGTTTCACCTAAATTCATCTTTACGATTAACAGAATCTCTGCCGGAAAGAAAGTCAAACTGTGGAGAAAATGCTGTGAGGTGTATGAAACATATTTTTAAAAATGTAATTAGAGGCTGTGTTTTGCTTGAAATGGAAATAGGTGAGGAATGGAATAGAGAAGTTAGAGATGGGCCCAAGAAAGTCATCTGGCAGGATTATGATTTCTGCAAGTGAGAAAATGCATTTCTGGCGCTCTTACATATTTGAATACTTTTTGTATTCCACAGATTTGAGATAAGGTATTGCATGTAACAATGCTATCAGACTTTAATCTTCACAAAACATACATTAAATCATAATTCATGGTGAAATTTGACATCAAATTGTAAATCCTTGCTGTAAAGAATGCTGAACAAATCTCCTCATCTGTATTTGGGCAAGATGGAATTCAGATTGAAGTAAGTCAAGTTTTATTTAAACTGTGACAATGCCTGTTTATTGTGTCTCCTGTTTATTGTGTCTCCTCAGCAAATTTGGTAACCTCAAGAAACCTTTGCAACGGGAGTGAGCCAAACTTAAAGCACAAGAGTAATACTGTCCCCTGCAGTCAGGCCAGTGGAAAAGAATTGCATCACCAGACAATTATATAAGTACTCATAGTCACAAGCAGAATACAAAGTTTTTTCTTTCTTCAGACAGATTCAGTTTTAAGATATACTCTATAAAGAGGTTACAAATTGGAACAGTAAAATGAAACAATATGCTAAATCTTGATCCATTTCCATTTATACAATAAGGTTCCATCAATTACACGTTCTAAATTAGAGTTACTTTTCCCTGACATCTTAAAGTTAGAAAAATATAAATCTGAAAAGTTCAAAAGTATATTGAATAAGTTTATCGAGGGCTGATACTGGAGAACGAAAAGCACAGGGATATTGGAAAGATGGTTTTCGCTAACCTCTCAACAATAATAATAATCATCCTTGCATTTGATATAGCGCTTTTCACGTCTTCTAGACGTCTCAAAGCACTTCACAGATTAGACTGTAAAGTGAATTGACTGTATTTGTGGGCGAAATACGGCAGGCAATTGCGCACAGCAGTGTCCCACAAACAGTCGTGGATTGAAGTGACCAATTTTTATTATTTTTTTCTTGAGGGATTATTGCAATTATTACAAGGATTATTACCAGACAAATATACACAGACGCACTTTCAAGTCGTTGCCCAAAAGCCATTAAATCCCTTACAGCGCCTTACTGCTGCTCAGTCAAGATCAGTGAACCCACAGAATGATGGACTCATAAAATCCTACACCCATTCGGCGCATCGTGCCTGTGCCAGCTCTTTGAAAGAGCTATCCAATCAGTCTCAAGGCAACAAAGTGAATGTGTGGGCAGAAATAAGCTCTCAATCCATACAGATTACTGATGATTAAGCACTGCTGGTCTACGCAGCCATATCCAGAGATTGGGAAAGGTTCAGCAGCCAGTAAACGAATGAAAATGAGAAACGTGTGCAAGAACAATGTAAAATGATAAATTCCATAGAGCTAGTGGGCAGGAAATACCAGATTTGCTTCTAACTGAAGCAACTCTGTCGTAATTTCTTCGTCAAAGTATGGCCTCATACAGGAATGTAAATACTGATTATATTTTGAATACAAAGTTTTATTTTCAGCACATAGCTTGTACAGTTGTAACCCGGATAGATCACAAATGAATACAATAATTTACGATAACTTACTTTACATTGGTGTTGGTACAGATAATGTACTCAATTTCATCTGAATAGGGATTCTGGAAAGTAAAACTGCTTGTTCTTATCCATAGCCACTCTCTGCTCTTTGTTCGAAAGCGGTACATCACTGACAGCACCTGCCCTTTCAATTTAAGGACCTAGTGAAAATAAACAATGATTGATTGGATTGTTCACTCTGCACTGTAATTAATGAACAAGGATGAAGGTGCATGATATTGATTAGTGGCTCTCTCGATCTAATATCTCATTTCAGAGTATATGTTTAATAAATTTGGCATTTCATTACTTACTGTATATCATTCTTTGTGCTGAAAACTCTTTCGTTTTTTATTTTCTAAACCACATCCAGCGGCTGGATTTTTTTAAAAAAGGATACAGACACTTATAGTTTTTAACTAAGATAGGGAAGGAGTGGTTTTTTTTGCTTGTTGGAAACAAATGCAACTACTGCACTACAATGTATGCAGTTTTATTCCTCAACGTCTACAATTGCTGCATAATGGTACGAAGAACGGTATGTATATGTAGCCCTATATCATTCAAAATGTCCACCAAAATGTATCTTTTTAGTGCTGCAGTGCACTCCCCTTGGTCTACATACCGCGAAGCAGCCCAGGAGGAACTACACAAGGCAGGTTACTTTTACCACAAAAGACAAAAGAATTTATCAGAAGGTGCTGACGAGAGTTAATGATTGCAAGATGATGTATGAAGCACAGAAAGCCTTCAACCACCAGGTTCAGAGAAAAAATGGGAAAAGACCAGAACAACTAAAAGTGCTTGGAGTCCAAAACAGCCAAGTGAACTATTTTCTGTCTCGTGCCTTCCCCAAAATGTGCAGTGCATCCCTGTTATAACAGGATTAGTTAAACCACCAAAAAAAAATTAACATTATTCAAGTAAAAACTCATTATACTGAAATTACAAAATAAATGTAGTTCCTACTTATAGTACAATAAAATTAAATTGTAGCAATACGTAAAATCAATTAAATATATTTAATGTGGTGATTTGTAAATACTTGATGGTAAAATGTGAAAACTTGAGATGATTTCAGCCTCAAATTACTTTTAGTTGTTTTATTCAGAAATATTTCCTTTTCCCAGACATGATTAGGTAACAGGGTCCCTTTGCCTTTTAAAACGTCTGATTAAATCTTTGAAAAAGCTTCCTTCATTTGAGTTCAACAACCAACACCCTTCTATCAACAAAAATCCCCACCACACCCTATTAACAGGGTCACAAAGAATACAGAACTCACATCAGTGTCCAGTTCTAGAGCTTCCTATTGCACAACAGATAAAACAAGCTCTGGAATTGGTGATACGGTTCTCTTTGTTATTCTTGGCCTCAAGGATGAAACATACAGGTCCAAGTTTCCCACTGTAGCTGATGCCTTTATCTTTGCTAGGAAAGGAAACCCTTACATGATGCTCATTGGCTTAGTCCCAGATGGCCACCAGTTTCAGCAACCTTTCTCACTCATTTGTTATAACATTACTGACAATGTCAGCAGAATAGATTTTATGGGGATGAGAGAAAGGGGTAAACTTCACTAACAGGTTCCAGACACCTTCAGCAGATTTTCATTTATTTTTCCAAGTAGTTACATGAAGCATATGTCCAGGTGTTCTCACTTTTCTAAAATGCAAATATTCATAGCCTCAAAAAAGAGATGAACTGCGGGAAATGATTTTAAGGTGTTAGGTATGTGTACTTCAACTCCCTCCACACTCTAAAGCCTTCCCCCCTCCTCCCTAATAATCTGAATATGTGAACCCATGTAAAACAGCTTTTAACAAAAATAACTAACATTCTTTTCAATCTTTGTAAAAAAAATTATATGTAATGTAAACTGAATGTCATGCTCATTTTTCAGTGTAATTAACCAGTGTGAAAATCGCACTGACATATTTTTTGTAAAACTTTTTACATTAAGCATAGACCTGATATTCATTTTGTGAAGCTAAACTTACATGTGAAAAAAATATAATTGTATTTGTTAAATTATCTCTCTGGCAGGAAAACCCTTTGTGAGCAAGCAATCATTAAATTCATAACTGATTGATATTTGCAGAAGAATTTAAATATGTACTATAATTCATTTGTGAGAAATCAAAAAAGGTATCCAAAAAACAAGACACATATTACTCCTACCTGTTGGAAACTATCCCGCACATGACCTTGATCTTCTGGGTGACAAAATTCTACAATGTCCTTCCCCAGCAGATCCTAACAGAAAACAAACCGTACAAGAAATGACCAGAATGATAACTATTATCGACATATAATTGATATTATTTGCGTCCATGATTTCAAACATTTTCAACCAAGGACGTCTTCAATTTTGCTAAGAACGAGAATGAAGTTAATTCATTGAAGATAAATGGAATGAAAACACAACAGATTTCAAAAAAAGGATTGGTTGTATGGGGAGTAACGGTTTCAAATGAATTTATGAGTGTGTGTAACTATTTATTGGTATTTAATTATTGCAGTAATAAAGCTACTCCTGATATCTCTGATATGTCTCTGATATCCTGATATAATAGGTACTGATTTTTTTGGATCCACTGTTTATCCTTTGAAGAATTATGATGGTATGTTGAATATTGACAACTAAGGAATATCTACAAAAATCAACCATTTGATCCTGGTTGGATTGAGTTCATTTCGACATTTTCACTTAGTTTTCTTACTCCACACGCTTAATAATAATCAATTTTCATTTTCAATCCACGACTGTTTGTGGGACTCTGCTGTGTGCAAATGGCTGCCGCGTTTCACCCACAATATACGGCCATTTCACTTTACAGTCTATTCGGTGAAGCGCTTTGAGACGTCGAGAAGACGTGAAAAGCGCTATATCAAATGCAAGGATTATTATTATTATTATCTCTGAAGCATTGACGTTCTACTGTTGAGCAATTATTCAACATGACAGTGTATGTATGTCATAATAATAATAAATTGGTCACTTCAATCCACGTCTGGTTGTGGGAGACTGCTGGGCGCAATTAGCTGCCGCGTTTCGTCCACAAAATATACAGTCAATTCACTTTACTGTATATTCTGGGAAGCTTTATGAGGCCTTGAAGACGTGATAAGGCGCTATATCGAAGACGTGATCTCGAAGATGTGATAAGACGTCAGCGCTTTAGGCTTCTTCCCGACATGAATGGCACTCCATGAATGTAATTTTGTTGTTGTTGTAGTATATCAAATGCAAAGATTATTATTATTTTATTATTATTAGCTGCAATATAAGAGGCCAGCCCAAGAAATACAGATTTTTTGGGAGCTGCCAATACAATGGTTAAATGTATTATAATGATTAATGGTTGATGTTCGTTTATGCTTTTCTAAGTTCCAACTATGAATATCACTGGGCTCTGTAAAACCATCAAGTATGTTTGCTAAAAATATTCCACTCCTGGGTGTAGAAAGGGGATATCTTTGTGTATCTCTTGGATGTGACCTTTTTCAAAATAATTTGGCTTGCTTTCGAGGTGTTTTGAGTATTCAAGTTGCAAAACATGTACAGTGACTAACAACACATGTCTCAGCCTGTGAGTGGACTGCAATGTTACATCGAATAATTATTATTTGAATAATAAAAACAACTGCATAACCAGGATTGCACTGAGTCAGATAAAATCAATTATTTTTGTTTAAGAGTACAAGCCTTTGCCATATACAGGTTATATAGATATCCATGCTTTGCTAACATACCATGTTGGTCAAAGTAAAGTAAAAGATTTCGGTCTCAGACATCAATTAAACAATCCAGAGAAAAGGCTTTGAGAAGAGATTTAATTTTACAGAAACAAAAGCTCATCTAATGAGTGAAGGAATTTAATTAGGTAGATATTAAAGCTTTTGTGGGCCAAATGACCTCTTCTTCTCATCCTTGATTTTTTTTAGTTTCTTAATAGGCGAACATACCTGTGGCTGATAGCCAATGACAGTTATACATCTGTGATCCACAAATGTAAAAAGTCCATCTGAATTGTGTCTGGACAGGAACTCTGTGGGGACGACCAATCCATTCATATCCATACACATTGGTGAGCTGGTGACCTTGAAAATATTATCGCCAGAACATGACCAACATGAAAGTATCAAAAACAAACACTTTATCATCTCTCTTATGTGAATGATCCCCACTATGTAGGGAGTACACTTGGCTACTCAACTGAAAGGTACTATATAAATGCAATTTGTTGTTGTTGTTACAGGAATAGTCTTTATTTGATTCTGTCTAACAGTATAAGCATCACTGCTTTGGCTTGGACCATTCCCAGTCATCTGCTACGAAGACACAAGTAGAAACGTGTGCCCTCAGTGAGCAAAAGGTACGTGGACCAATTAGGGAAATGAAAAATAAAATGTGAATTTTTATTTTATGACATTCAGAGTTTTGAACATCCTGAAATAAAACACAAATTAAATTCAAAGCAATTTGGCGGCATAGATGTTGATTAGTAGTAAAGAAATACATTTATTGTCCCCTTTAATAATACCTGAAGGCGTCCAATTGCAACCATGCAAAATTTGCTTGCTGGTCCCGTGTCTGAATCTTCTTCTGGAATTGTCATTCCTATGGAGAAAAAAAAACAGCACTGTCTTAAGATATAACTACTATTGCTGAAAATGCTATTATGGGACTTTTTCATCCCCTACGACAATCGGAATTATAACAAAAATATTCATTTTAATGAAATGTACATCTTAATTTATCAATTTTTCTTTGGTGAATACTCATAAGTATGGCCTTCCACCATCCCACATGTTTCTTGTGTTTAGACTATACTGTCTGCTGTACAAAGAGTGATACTCAAAATGAGGTGCTGACACTTGCAAGTCACACTCTGTACAGCTCAGCTTTTCCTCTTGAAAATCCTTTTTTCCCCTGAGGTTTTTACAGTGATGTCATTTGTGTTGAATGCCCATGCTCTAGAAACTCTAATGTTTTCCCAGTCAGTCACTAACTAAACTAAATGCTTTAACTGAAGACATGGAACAACCCTGAATATCTGACGATTTTCATCCCAAGCTTTCTTTTCCTCATTCTCTACAATCACTAACAACCAGTTAGAAAAATGACCTTCCAAATTTTAGTATCACATATAATTTGATATCTATACGTGTCTGCAATTATCATGGATGACATCAGTGTTTATTGGACACAAAAGCCACTGTCCTGGCTGTTTGTTGATCAGCTGGCAGTGCCTGTGGATACAGGAGCCTGTCAAACACCAGTGCCTGAAGTGGGTTTTCTATCTTTGTGAAATTCAAATATTTTACTGAAGGATACAAAAATGAAAAAAAAACTTGTGGATCAGAAAAAGTAATCTACCATCGCTAAGATATTGAAACAAACTTTGACGTACCGAAAATTATTTCACTTAACAATGCTTTCAACAATAGACCACATTACCGAGTCAAACAAATCTCTGCTGAGTTCAATTATCCAACATTCTTTAGTGCTTTTGATTTAATTGGGTAAATAAACCGTTGAGTTCCTAGAATAGATGCTTTCATATTTCACCTCAAGGGAGTAATTCTTGTGTTCAGGACATCTGAAGCCTACCTTTCCAGCTGCTAAGTTTTTACAGCAACATACATTACAGGAGAGAGCTGAGTCATTACATTCGTTTTAAATCATGGCCGTTCGGATTAGTCACAGAGCTATTATGCTACTGCTCAACTCAAGAAACCTTGGTACCAGTATGATCAATTATACAAATAAAACCCGTCTATCCTTAAATACAGATAGTGCTTCTGAATCACCTACAATGTAAAAATCTACCAATGGATCGAGCTCAAATACACAATTCCTCCCCTCTCCATAGAATAAACTCAGCAACACATTGCCTGGCACTATGCAGTAGCAGGATATGGAACTGCTCTTGGATCCTTCAGACTACAGCCTTTGATCTCAATCATGCTATGATGGAATAGGTTGAACAGAGGCCACATTCCTTAACATACAGAGGGAAGGGGAAAAAATGAGCATATTTCGATGATTGGGCTTAAAGTTTTCAGTTGAGGTTTGGCTTCCAATCTCTGTTAGGGATGGTGCAGGCAGTTTCCTAGGGTGAGACTTCCTTTTGTAAGTTTCTTATTACATTACATTTATTACAAGAAAAATTAATCACTTTGGATCAGATTATACAGGGCAAAATAATGTTTTGCTGAACTGCGCAACATAAATCATTCACCCTTTATGTCTCAGTGTCACATGTCTATTCAATTGATCCATGTTGTTTTAACAGAACCGTTTGAATGTTTGTTTCAAACAAACAAGTCATAAAAATGACTGGTGCTACTGTAAGTAATTCACAATTGGCAATAAATAATCTAAGGACTGCTCAGCTTGTAACTGACAATATCATCATTGTGCCAGTGAGGAATTTTCAAATGAATTCCTGCAAATGATAACAACCAGAAAATTGATAGCATACATCTGGTGCAACACAGTATAATTGTATATGCAACTGTTCTTCAATGCCAGATGCATTTATTATGGGACCTAGATTTACTTTGGCATCAATGAACACTACAAGCCAATGGTAGTCTATTATACACTCTGTGTAAAAATGAGCACATGTATTTATTTATGTAATAAAAGCATATAAAAATTAAAAAGCAAATTAAATAGGAAAATAAAATACTTGATATACAGGGGTATCAAAGGATATTGGTTAATTACACAATTAAGGCACCTTTAATTCCCTCTGTAAATACGTGGCACAATTGCCCAACGTTCTTTTAATCATATGTATTCATACAAAACCTGTGCTAAAGTTGTAATGCAGTATTCCATTTCAACATTATAACTGGGAATACTTGCTCCATCATGTTGCTCATTAACATTCTGAACACCCAATGGTTGTTTACATTCAACATTCCTGTTCTATAAGAAAATGCTTTCCAAACACCACTTTAAGACAGGAAAATACCCCACATTTATACTGTTTTCAGTTAGTATATTCCAACTTGCAATTCGGAAACTCTGACAAATCTCTTTACTCAACATAATAGAAATATGTAAGAAATGTCTCTTGTGTGTTGTCTTTTTTTTAGTTCTATAAATATTGTAATAAACTGAATTATTGTAATTACAGCAGCAGTAAGAAAGAAAATACTGCAGCATGCAGTAGCCTTTTTAACATAAATCTGAAACAATTCTATTTACCAACTCAGAAAACAGGCCTTTGTCTGATTTCCCATCACTGCCTTATTCCCCACATTTTCTCCTAGACGTTTAAGAACTTATTAAAAAGGATTTAAGGTAAAATTAATGAACGGTACATATACCTGTGGGGTATTATTTCCCAAATATCAGAAATAAGGAAACACTTTTTCACTAAGCGGGTGGTGGTAGTGTGGAAATCACTTCCCCAGAGGGCAGTGGAGGCAGAATCAATTTAAAAATAATAAGCAAATAGATGAATACTTGATATACAGGGGTATCAGGGGGTATAGAAAGAGGGCGAGGATGGTGGAATTGACTTGTGGATCTGCCATAATCTTGGAAAACGATGGGGCAGGCTCGATGGGCTGAATGGCCTACTCCTGTTCCCATGAGATTGCAGAGATCGATTATTTTTAGATCAATTTTGAATATTTAAAATCCTTATTCTTTTAAAAAGAATCTGCAAAAGTGTTTGTAAAGTAACTGGCACCATGTGAGCAGTAAAGCAAAAATGATAAACCAGTTAGTTACTGAATAAACTCCATAAATACTACAGATGTTTATTTTTCACAAAGGATTATTCAGTTATATAAAAATCTTACTCTGAATTTTTTTTAAAAGCTCACAGATTTTCAGTGGCTAGATTCCCATTTTTGGTCTATTATCTCTGTGGCACTTCTGAGCAGGAGTATGGAAACAGTGTTTCATTGCAAAGCCACAGTTTCCAGCATTCTTTCACTGCAGCAATTATGGGGTGCTGACACTGGAGATTTGACAATTGAATAAACATTTCCAAGGCCAGCCTCGAAATTGATGGTGCATCTGAACAGTTCAGCAGCCAATAAACTGTGAGTTTTTTTAAAACCAAAAGTACATAGAAGTGTTGTCAGCTTGGCTTAGTTGATAGCACTCTTATCTCTGAGAAGATTGTGGGTCGAGGTCCCACTTTGCGACTTTGAGCTCACAGTCTAGGCTGACACTCTAGTAGGAGCGCTGCGTTGCTGGAGGTGCTATCCCTCAGATGAGACATTAAACCTTCTGTCTGTTCAGATGGACATTAAGCTTCCATGACACTTTTTAAAAAGAGAAATTTCTCCTGGTGTTCTAGCCAACAACCCTCCAGATAAGATTGGTCATTCACTTCAAAAGTATTTTGCAAATTGCCTTATGCGAATTGGTTGCCACGTTCAAATGCAAGTAAAGTCATTTCACTTTACAGCAATTTCCTGTGAAGAACTTTGGGACACAAATAATGAACTATATAAAAAAAACTATTACAACACAACTCTACTTTAGTAAAAAAAACTCTTTGCCAGAGTGGTCTTAAAAACACTAGCTGGCCAAGAACCTGGCCACTAACCTGCCAACTCACCATCCCTGCCAGAACAGATGTGTGGCTTTAGGGGATAGACAGGGAGAAAAATCAGTGCAGTAGGTGAATGAAGTTAATATACCCCTAAAAATAAATAAGTAGCCCTTCTCAAACTTCCCATATAAAACACCTTCTTACTAGAATGCATATTGATGTGACAGACTAACACATATGTAAACACTTTGGGACAATCTTTCTCTTTGGTGCCAAGGGTGCAGTTTTATGTTGTGAAATATGCAGATTCCCAAAGTTACTCCATAACATTTCATCAACTTGTAACCTTTAAAAATGAAGCCTGATTTGTTTTTAATCCCTCTTCTCCTAAATGAAGCAGTTCATGCCAATCTTAGCCCTCTTAGCTTCTCTTTGACCGTGCCTTCAGCTCCCCTCTCGACTCTCTACCCCCTCCTCGCTCCCTCCCTTCCCTCCCCTCACCCTGACCATTTCCCCCTGCTCGGGTCCTGACCCAACTCTACAGCGCCTTGGGACGTCTTCCCGACGTGAAAGGCACTCTATAAATGGAATCTTGTCTTGTCTTGTCTCCAGTATCTCAACTATATTAGTCTTTATGACCAACTCTGAACCATGATTCTCAGCTAAATCCAAACCTGTCCTCATCTCACTGCATAATCTCACTTCCAACAGAGGTCCCTGGGAGTAACTGAAAGGAACATTTGTCCCATCCTTAGTAGATGGACTTTGAAGTGTATTAGCTTTTTCCCACCATGAGAGTTGCCAGTCTGAATGAGTTTGGCTAGCTCAGCATAGCCCATGAATTAAACCTGATGTTTTCCAGGTTTCTATGAGGGCTGCTTGTGATATTTTTTTCCACTGAGCCATGTTTGCCTGAAAAATGCTTCCTGGATAGTTGCACATACATAAAAACTTTCCTTCACAGATATTTTTAAAGTATTATTAGTGTTTTTCTATTTCAATTCACAACTAAAATATGAGGAATCATCTATAGAGAAAAAAAATCTGGCCTAAGTGTACATGATATTTAGTGTTTAAATTACACTCCTTTAATTAGATCTGCTTTCACAGTTCTTAATATTTTACACTTAATGTGCCACTTGCATTTGTCCAGCGCAAAAAAAACTACATGGAAGTAAATCACCAAGTCACAACACAAACATGAATACAGTAGAACCATTTTATTCTTCGAGTCAACATGAGCCCAAGACATATTCTTAGCCAAGAAGAGTGAATGTTTAAATAATCTGTTTATATTGGCAATTTACTCTGGTTTAGGTAATGCAGAAAATAAATGCAGTTAGCATTTTAATACTGTAATTCCACAACAAGTTAATAAAATATATTCCAGATGACTTTTTTCCCCACTGTGTTGCATAAAAATAAGGCTACTTCATCCTGTTTTCCAATAACAGAGAGATTCAATGTGAGGTGGTTTCACAAATTCAAAATATAAATAGAAGAAATTCAACTGGGTCCAGGTTTGTGTTTAGGGTAATTTGTGATGCCTTATTTGGCTAGGAGAGTTGTCCTATATAAATTAACTCAAAATATCTGTCACTGCTACAGGCTGCTTGTCAACCTTAGTTGACAAGCACTTTATTTATAAATTCTGAGCTTCCATATAGGAGGACTCAGTAGAATGCAGATTACCGGATACAGACTTGATACAATGATACATTACTAAACATTTACTTATTTTAACTACTGTAGAGAGTAATTAAATGCAGCAGATAATGGAACCACGAATATAAACCACACTAAACAAATTAATAAACAATAGAGAATTACAATAATACAGCTCAATTGTGTACAGCTTAAGACAGTTTCAAAACGAGAGCAGCATAATATTTTTTCACAGCCACATCTCTTTCCCCAGTACTGTCTTAATGATGTGCTCACTAAAACCCATTTTCACAGCAAAGTGTAACAGAACACTCTCAAGCAAATTAACTGGTGTGGAAATGACTTGCGCTTTCTTCCCACAAGGACTAATTCAGAGCTCTAGTGTGCTCCCTGTCAGTGATTTGCGGTCAATCTGCGGTAATTTGGCAATATTTCCGACAAACACGATGCATGCACTTCCATTACGATACTGCTAGTTTCAGATTTTGCCTCATGAGATTCAACAATTTCTGCGAATGGTGTCTCTTATTTTTGTTGCCTATGATACAGATCTTTGACTGGACTTTTAAAACAGTGTGTAATCCCTGGTTAACAATGAACCTGGGACTGAATCTGAATTTCTCAAACATTGTATAAACTTTTAATGGAACTTATTATTGCCACATAAACCAGCAGTTTCCAGACTTCTGTGTGTCTGACTAGCTCAGTGGCAGCACTCTGGCCTCCAAGTCAGAAAAGTGTGGGTTCATGTCCCACATTGGGTCTTGGAAACATGTAGTCTAAACCGACACTATTGCAGTGCTGAGGGTGTAAAATGATATGTCTAGTTGCACAATGAACTGCACAGGACACAGGTGCAGGCCTCCTAGCAAGTGCTGGAAACACATGCAGAATGCCTTTAGGCCTCCTGGTGTGCGTCATGGTTCAAGTGACATCATCAGCATCCCAGAAGTGCTGACTAGCAGCCATTTTAATAATGGGGTATGTGACTGCACACCCTTTTTGGCCCAAAATACACTTTATATACCTCTTCATTTCGTGGCTGATGAAAGCAATTTTATCTCCATTTNAAAAAATAATCGTATCAGATTCCTCTGCTTTTGAAACTCACAACCCTCACATTGCAGATAACTAGAATGATTATTTAAAAAGGTGGAAGGGTGGGTGGGGGGGGTTCATCAGAGAGCTCTTCCTGCTTTTCTATAGGCACACTGCAANTTTTTTTAAGAACTCCAGAAAACAAACGTTTCAAATTAAGAAAGGAAGTTTACAAAATTGAAATTCTTAAATTTAAAGACAACAATTATAAGGCCAAGACTAGAGAGATATTGGATATCTGAATTCTGCAACATAATTTAATAGTTTAAAAATATTAATTTTAGTACACATAGCAAAATTGTACAGTGAGTGTACCTATTCCAAACATTGTTATCAGAACCCAAATAGGGTATAAATTGATTTTTTGATTTTGATTATTTATTCTCTGAGCAATATATCTTTAAAAGTAAAAGCATAGCCAGGGGATTAATGTGCAATGGATTGGAAAACTATTTTTTTTACCTCTGAGGCTTAGGTCTCAGAATTAAGTCCAAACAGATGACAAGCAAACATTTTCCCTCTAATAGCCGTTATGGATCTAGCATTCAAATATGTTTTGACAGCCGCAATGCACTTCTCAGTAGCATGAGCCCAAAGCATGAAACTGGCCTCAGATTTGGCACATCCTGCAGTAACTTGGCAATCTTGCTCAAATATGGGATATGCAGTTTGCATGTGGAAAAAGTCCTGCTGGTGCAGTAGGGAGTGCTGCCTTGAGGCTAGGGTTAAGCTCTGGGTCATCGGGGTAATGTGCATGGAACTCTGAAGCATTTTGTTTGACCTGAGAATACTTAGTGAGATTACTAAATGCAAAGAGACAAAATGTTCCAAACTCCTTCACTTATAAAAGTACAAAGCAGAAGCAGACTAATATGACAAGATTATCAGGATGAATCACATTGCAATAAACAGAGTAGAGCTGAAGTGTCATTTGATTACCTGCTGGTGGCCAAGCCTTGATGTATCCAGTACAGTGCACCACAGAATACTGTGACTCTCCATCTTTTACAGGTCCCAAACCATTCCTGTTGATATAACAATGACAAACATGTTATCGGGTGCAAACCCTCAACTGTCTAAAGCTTTGGGATGTCTTCCCGATGTGAAAGGTGCTATATAAATGCAATTTGTTGTTCTGTTTACATTAAAGAAAACTTGGACAGATTTAAAATAAAACTATAAAAATAAGGAATGAAGGAAACATTATACGCAGGAAGCAAAAAAAATTGGTGCATAAGAAATACTGAGGGTTACCTACCTATATCTCTTCCGCATAACAGTTAGCCTACTCAATGAGACGTGATCCAAGGGAGCAGTTCCACACCTGAATTAAAATGGAGTAAGTTACAACCAAAGAATGTTTAAGATATATCTACTGATTATCAATTTACAAACTGGAAAATTTCTTGCTGATTTAACGGTCAGGGCACAATAAGAAATCAGTAAATTATTCTCCCTACGTGAAAGGCGCTATACAAATTGTATTTTAGGGAGAGAACCCACATGATTTGCTGAAGGAAATACATTTTCCATTCTACTTACATACACGTATATAAGTAGACTTTGCCATCTTTCCATATTTTGGAAATTAGGTGGACAAAGCGGAATGTCATTTGTTTGCTATTTATATCACTGATGTTAAACATTCAGAATTCCTCGGGCTTTGCAACAACTCCCTCCATCATTAACATTTTCATTCAAGGTTTGATTTGATTTACAGTGTTTGAATGCAATACAACACAAAGTTCCAGCTGCCCATTTTTCAGAACTACTGGAGGTCCAGTTAAACAAAAAAAAGCCAATTACTCAACTTTTAGGTTCAGCAATTCTAATCTCTATGATTCCTCCTGATATGTGCCACATGCCATAGGTGAGGTAACTCATCCAGTCAGAAAATCAGATCCTTTATAAGTGATGTTGCAGCCAGAACCCTGACTATTTTCCTTTCATATGCCCTTAAAAGCATCTCTATTGTTGGTCTTTTTTTTAAAATTGCAGATAGTAGGAGGTAACATAGTATGGGTGAGTAATGCAACCACAAACTTACAGAACACTTAAAGGAAAGAAAAACACAAACATTTTTGGGAGGGATAGCCATGTGAAACAGATGTATAGGTTCTTGATACACCTGAACCTTGCAATCTTACATATCTTCAACGTGCTCACCTCATTCTACAAATAAAGGAACGCCTTGATCCCATGCACATTCTCATTGAAGACTGTTGTCCTTCCTTTTTTACTGTCCCAGTCTTGAGATCTAGAATACGACCTTATATGTAAAAACAAATTAAATTTAAATTAAAGAGATCACCATACAACAACTTCGAAATGGTTACATATTTGCATTTGTAATACTATCAAGTTCAAGTTAGTTTTGCATTTATATGATGTGTGGAGAAAATAAACTAATTATATAAGTTAATACTTGCTAAGGCGATCAGGGCCGCTAAACAACAACAACAAAATTACATTTATAGAGCGCCTTTCACGTCGGGAGGACGTCCCAAGGCACTGGACAGTCAGGGGTCAGGACATGAGCATGGGGGAGGGGTGGGATAGGGGTGTGGGAAGTTCAGAGAGGTGGGAAGGTGACTGAAGGCATGATTGAAGAGGAGGGTTTTGAGACCAACTTTGAAGGTGGCAAGTGGGAAGGGAGGCGAAGGGACTGTGGGATGGAGTTCCAGAGGGTGAGGGCAGAGAGGCTGAAAGCCCAGCCACCGATGGTAGGGCAGGTCGGTCGTGTGAGGAACCCTATATAAATGCAAGTTGTTGTTGTAGTAAAGAAGTAACTTTCTTCCTCCCTCCTCACCATTTACGTATTACAAATATTAAGCTTTCTAATTGCTTCTTTTCTTTAAAAAAACACCCACTCCAAAAACAGCTCCATTGAGAGGTGCCATTTCATGACGAGAAATGGTTCAGCTTCCACGAGGCACAAGTTTCATTTGCATGTGGTTCCACACGGTCAGTGGCTATTACTATCATTCTATTTTGGATACCAAAAAGTCACACAGCAGTATTCAGCAAGAAAAAAAACTTCAAAGTTATTCATGCCTCTTGATCTGCACGAAGGACCAGACCCATACTTTTCTATGCTGCTGGCTGCACATAACTACTCACCGACTGAGCCTGTACCTGAAGTCAGCAGAATCGCTTTCTGCTGTGTTTCAAACTGAGATGACAAATTGAACAAGACAAGATCTAAAGTCAACATTTCTTACCAAGCAGATCACTTGTTTCAATATGTTTGCGCTAACAAAAGAAGAAAGTACTCTGCATTGAAGTTCCTCGCATCTTAGTATCTCCTTTAGGATTTGTTTTAAAATTAAAGTGAATCTTAGATAATTCTACTCAACCGTGTAAACTTAATTTATTTTCGAAACATATGACTAATTACTGGGATCTGAAGATTGCAAAGAGAAAATCTGAATCAGAAAATACTTTGAAACCAATTAGTAATTCAGCCAAAATTGAGGTGCAAGGGGCCTAGTGAGAATAAAGCTGACATTCTTTCCCATGGCAAAACCCAAATTATGACAGGCCAACAATGTAGGAAGCTAAGTGTTTGAAAGCTCCTGACGCTAAATCAAACTCTTTCGCAACAAAGGGTTTTATGGGTGTTGTCGTAGACATTTGTAGCTGAAGCCATATGAAAGTACAAATCACTCATTCACTAAGCAGTATTCTTTTAAAGTGGTTGTAAAGAAAAGGATAGCTATTAGAAGAAAAGCAGAGAGCCACTGCAGCAGTACTGAAATAGAGGGAAATGCAAGAGGGGATTAGGAAGGTGGCATCTAACACACAGGTAAATGAAAGACGACGTAGGATATTAAAGATTGAGAATGGACCCTTCTGTGCCATTAATTTGTGTAAAACTGATTTAGCCTGAGAATTATACCGAGAACAGTACAAGTTAAAGCTATTAATAATAGACCATTCAAAGATCAGATGTTTTTTTAAAAACGGCTTTTCAACACTACTCTCATAAAAGAGAAATCAAACAGGGGACTGTATTGGATCAAATGGTTAACACATCAAGAAAACACATGAGGGTCGCATTATTCCTCGACACATTTCATTAAAGGGAATGCTGCCCTCCATTCGCACCACTTGATAATTGATCTATTCTGACATACATCGAAAATTATGGAAAAAGGAAAGAAAGTCCAGGGACTTAATTCTGGACAAGTCAAAACAAAGCTACATATTTTACAAGAGAATATAACTTTTATTACTCAGTTACACCATTCTTTTGCATAAAAAAGGCATCAGCTTTTTTCTCAAGATGAAACAGTTTGCCTTCATATAATATCATGCCTTTCAGATTTGACACATGGATCAGTGACACTCGTTACACTTTTAACTACCAGAGAATGCTGAACACCACTGGGACTCAACCTTGTAACCACTGGATTGTCAGCCAAAGGACTTGATTACAGGCAGCATAGTTAAGGTCACATCTGTTAATGTAGCACACCCATTTGATCTTCATCCACTTTATTGCAATGGGTAGAACATAACTGACAAGATCACTCATTGTTTCAGATAATAAATTAATTCTGTTATGACAATGATCAGCTTTCACAGCTTTGTCCTCAAAAGAACTCAGGATCAAGGACTCAAATGTGCACCATCACATTTTCTATATCAATCTGGTTTGGGATCTTTATTTTAAAATATAAATGCACACACTGAATGGATGTAATTGTAAACTATGCAATACAAATAGTAACAAATACACATTTCATTGAATTATTCACAAACAATACACTTTAATGGTCGGTTTGGGGCTATAAAATATACTCTTGAAAAGCACATTTCAAAATTTCGACTTGTTTCAATTTGACCTAAACATTGAGTGTGTAAAAGTTTTTAGCAACAAAGTAACAAAGGCATATTTATAGAAACAGAATACTCAGATTTTTCTTTAATTGCTTCAAAATTGCCTTTGCTAAAGAGAATAAAACAGGAAATTAAAATTAAATCTATGCAGAACAAATATTTTGGGTCTCAAACTACCGATAATATTCGGAGACTTCAATCCATCGCGCCCTCTGGCATCAGCCTTCTTGTATTTTAAATCAAATATGCACGTACATGCCAGCATGTATGGCAGAAAAGCCATTTTGTATTGAATACTATTATTTTGCCGAAGACATTGATTTGAAACTCACATTGCACCACAATGTCAAAAAATTACATTAAACATGAATAATATGGATAGTTACAGCACAAAAGCTGTTTCTTGCACCTACTGATTTATGGTAAAAGCCAATTTACAATATTCTAGAACAAAATAGTAATTATTGTACTAGTTACACCGGCATTCAACCAACACTTGAACTCGTATTCCTTGTATTTCTGCCAGTATAATAACTTTCAAGTCTGAACCTCACTAAATTATTACACCAGATTAAATTGCAAATTCATGATTATCATGATAAATGATATAGATGATTTCAGTGATCTTATTGGATCAACATATTCTCCACAAGATTATTTAATCACAGAAACATTTATTTCATTTTAACAATATCACAATACTTTAATCCCATCTCTAGTGGAATAAAATTTGGTTTTAATTCCATCACAGTATAAAGATTAAACAGGGTAGTATTACAATTACAAAACTGCACATTTATTAGAAAAACAAAACCAGATATTGAATTTGAAGATATTTTCAGTATTATTTATTTCCCAAAATGAATATAGCTTTGTTCTGGAGAACAAGCAGTACCTTGTGAATCAAATTAAAATGCCTCAAGTGTTGTAATAAAAATTCCACAACAACAGACATTTGGCTATGTGAGAGAACTTATTTATGATTACCTCAGATTTAAAAGGATTTTAAAAGTTTTTGACCTGTGTGCTATTTTGTATATCAACAGATCCATCATCCACATCTGTCCAAAAGCATAAAATTGGGGAGAACGCACATTAACTAACTTCGTACTGCAGTTAATACAAAAGGGTACAGGGAAAGAGCAAATAATTGGGATTAGAGTAGTTAGCTTCTCCAAGGTCCTGGAATGAGTTGCTGCTTCTCAGCTTCGCTACTTCCTCTCCTGCCACTCCCTTCTAGAACCCCACCAGTCGGGTTTCCATGCTGCCTACAGCACAGAAACAGCCCTGGTCAAAGTGACAAATGACATTCCTCCTTGACCTCTCTGCTGCTTTTGACACCGTCGACCACTCTATCCTAATCGACCGCCTCTCCTCTCACATCAACCTCCACAGCTCTGTCCTAGACTGGTTCAGATCGTACCTCTCACACCGCCTGCACTTCAAAAGGCTTCTCCTCTTGTCCCCGGACCGTCTTGTGCAGCGTTCCTCAGGGCTCTTGTTCTTGGTCCCCTGCTCTTCAATATCTATATGCTCCCTCTTGGTGACATCATCCGGAGACATGGTGTCAACTTCCACATGTATGTAGATGACACCCAACTCTAGCTCTCTGCCTCCAACCTTGACTCCAGGATCACTGCTGTCCTGACTCAATGTCTGTCGGACATCAAGTCCTGGATGAGAGCTAACTTTCTTCAATTGAATGTCAATAAGACCGAGGCTCTCTTGATTAGCTCCCATCAGCGCCTCTTCACCTCAGGGGTTGACAGTATCACCAACCATAGTTGCACACTCCACCTTGCTAAACCAGTCCGGAACCTTGGGGTCTTGTTTCACCCTCAACTATCCTTTCTACCACATCTGTGCCATGACCCGTTTTGCCTTCGCCCACCTCTGCAATGTCGCCCGGCTCCGCCACTGTCTCACACCGCAGGCCGCTAAAACCCTCATATATGCTTTCATTATATCGAGGCTTGACTATGCAAACTCATTGCTTGTCAGCCTCCCCAACTCCTCCCTCCACAGGCTGCAGATCATCCAGAACTCTGCAGCCTATGTCCTCTCCCGCACTAGGCTCCGCGACGGGCCTTCTGCCACTCTGCCGCCATGTTCTGGAACTCTATTCCAGTCGTTCCGCCTTGCCCCCTCACTTGCCTCCTTCAAGACCCATCTCAAGACGATTCTCTTTGACCGCGCTTTCAATCTCCCTGCTTCCCCCCTGCCCTCCATCCTCCCCGATCCCAACCCCCAGCTTGGGTCTGTAACTCAGACTTGCCCAGCACCTTGGGACGTCCTCTCGACATGAAAGGCATTTTACAAATGTAATTTTGTTGTTGTTGTTACCTCCAGTGGAAGAATGGGCACTAGCAGAGTCTTCTGCCAAATGGTCCTTGATATTGTCATATTGTATAATTCTAGTTTATCAAA